ATAAAGTCATAAATGTCTTTAACCAATTATTTTTAAAATGATCGTTAAAATGATTGTTACGAAATAATAACAATAATGACTGAAATGGGAAACCATACTTGTGAAATTCAATAGGTGGCGATAATGCTAAAGAGTTAGTTAGTTAGTTACCATATATGGTTAGCCTAAATCGTGTGTCCTAGATTGTGTGTGCCTAGAACGTGTGTGGTTCTGCGGTTCTGCAGCTGGATATATCTCGCATTGCGGTGCGCCGAAGAAACAATTCATTTTGGCACCCCTACAACTGACCCAGCTGGGGCTGAGCCACAGTGTCACTCTTGTGATTTTATTAGTATTCATTTTAGTACATTAAAAATGCCTATGACTTAAATCTAATAATAAATGTTCAATTTAAATACTATTTCAGCTTTTTTTTTTTTTTTTTACAGTTAAGCCTTTAATACTTCTGGTTTTAATGATAATACAAACCTCTTTGAGATGTGCTTTGCTGTACTTATACCTTAGTCCTTGTTTTCCAGCATGCGACTGTGACCCAAGAGGCATTGCGGAACAACAGTGCAACAAGGTCACTGGTCACTGTGTTTGCGTGGAGGGTGTTTCTGGACCACGATGTGACACGTGTGCTCGAGGTTACACTGGCGAGTTTCCACAGTGTGAGCGCTGCCACCAGTGCTTTGCCGAATGGGATATAATAGTGGGCGACCTCACCAACCAGACCCACAGACTGGTCCAGAAAGTCAATACCATCAAAGCCACTGGCATTACGGGACCCTATCAGGCTACCATTAATAATGTCGAAAACAGTGCCAACTCAATCCGCAACATCCTAGCCCAAAATCCAGCTACTCAGCCTTTAACAGAGATCCAGGGACTTCTAGAGCAAGCTACGTAAGTTTTGCCTTTGCTCAAGATGTGGCTGACCATTAGTGTAATGTTCTCATGAGAATAACCCCTTTGAATCTGTTCACTTTTTAAAGTGCCTTGATGGCTGAAATGAACAGCAACCTTAACCTGACGGAGGAGACCTTGTCCGAGATCTCATCTGACAACAACAGCACAGACACCAAACTGAAGTCGCTCAAAGAAGAAGCTCAGAAACTGGAACAGACCGTGAAAGACCTACGCGAACAGGTGGAGTTTGTGAAGAATTCAGACATTCGAGGTGAGTAATATCACTCAAGTGTTGTAAAGCTATTTTGTGTCTAAGCAAAACAAATAAATCCACCTTTTTTTTTTTTTTTTGATCTACAGGGGCCAGAGCCAGTGTTACTCGATACTATGAGCAGTCCCAGAATGCAGAGATCCGTGCTAATGCCTCCACCATTGACCCATACAACTTAGTCAATCAGTCTGCCACCCTGCGGACAGAAACTGAAGAGTTGATGAACCAGACCAAAGAAGAGTTCAATCAAAGACAGGATGAGTTTTCGAAGAAACTGGACAACCTGGCTGGACAGCTAGAGACACTGGACCTGTCTGAGCTTAGCGAGAAGGTAAAGCAGTCAACGGATTTATGATAATGGTGTATGAAAAGAGCTTATCTAGTAACTCGATAGCACTGAAGTTTAAATAAACTAAAGTTTAGTTTTCAAAAGCAAGTCAAATGCAAATTAAAACATAAAAAACACTTTGATGTGACTTTAAATTTGTGTTCGTATAGAACAGATATATAATATAAGATCCTCTGACTTCTTCATTGACACAACATTAAACTTCATATTATGGGGTGATTTCTATAACCCGTTTCCACTGAGTGGTACGGTATGGTATGGTATGGTATGGTTCAGTACGGGTAACCTTTATCAGGCTTGCGTTTCCATACAACAGAATGTTTCAGTCGACGTCATTCTCGCTCAAGGAAATCTCGCTCAAAGTAAAGCTGTACAGGTCGTTCACATATCATATGAGAAGCATTTCTCACAGAACAGATACTTTATACACAAATACTTGTGAATAAATGTTCATGACTAACCTTTTCATAAACATGATTATAACTGCAGATCAATGATGCGAAATAGCCTACTGTAACGTCTGCAATTATATAAAATAAATAAATAAATAAATGCAGCATATATGAACACACACAGACCTTTACAGTCTCCGATATGTTACCAATTACAGAAAATCTACACACAGCAGACATTTAGTCCTTATTTGGGTTTAAAAAAGACACACAACGTATGTCCCACAGTCAGTGCAAACCTCTCAAAGTTCATAATAGAGTTCATAATAGTCCAAAAGGTGATTATAATAGTTAAACTTGGTAGTTTATAAATGTTTTAGGTTGCTGAAAGAATCATTTGTTCCTTTGTTTTTTCCGGCTTCTCCTTTATTTTAATGGGTCAGTCTCGCGTTTGTTCGTTTCTGAAAGGATCGAATGTCAGAAGTGCTTCAGTAATCACATGCACGTTATTATCATCAGCTCAAGAAGTTCGTTATTATCATATATAGACGCGCTGCGAGCTCTCTGGAGAAAGTGAAACCGCTCGCACTTTTAGACTGGCTCGTAAAACAAAAACAGGACTGGGCAGATTTTGTTCTTCTTGGCTTTGTGGCTGTTCATCAAGACAACGACAAGGTTTGTTTGTGCTCGGGTCGACCATGGCTCATTATTATACGTATATAGTATTACGATGTAATGTCTTGGCTGTGTTTTTAGGGGGGTTTTTTCACCTTTCATTTGATAGGACAGTAGAGAGTATTTGACAGTAAAGCATGGGAAGCAGAGATAGGCATAGGACCGAGAGGCAGAATCAAACTCGGGTCACTGTGAGCACCGGAGCTCATGTGTCGACGCACTAACCACTACACCACTGAAACCAACTCGGCTGTGTTTTTAAAAATGGCGCTTTCTTTGTTTTCATTCTCCTGCTTGTGTATGCGCGAGTGATGTATCTCTGTAAACCAATAGCGCTCAGATGCGCGTATATCTCCACCTTTTGGTACCCTTTGCAAATGGTGCCCAAAAAATGGTATGGTACTGTTCACTTTTAGGTACCTTTTGATCGTGCAAACGGCCATCAAAACGTACGGAACCGAACCCTATTACTCAGTGGAAACAGGCCATAAAATACAGTATACTAACATCTGCCACTGCATGTAGATGGTACTAGAAGTTGTATAGTAATACCTCTGCACACATCCAAAACACCATAAAAACCCATGTACAACCCAGATCGCCCAAACAACTGCATAGCAACCCCTTTAAGACCACCCTTAACATTCTAACAACTGCATGGCAACACCCTTACAACCATGCAGATCACCCTAGCAACTGCAAAGCAACACACCATGCACGAAACAGTATTAACTTTATAGTAATGTCTCAGCAAACATCCATAACATCATGAGAAGCTGTTCACACAAAATGCATTTTTCGTTTCCAATGCACAACTTTTCCATTTATTTCAATGTAAACATGTGCTTGACAGACATGTGTGACCGTTACACTCGCATCTTTCATTGAAGCACCGCACACATGAACGCTATCTTTTTAAACGCCTTTCAAGTTAAAAGAACTTCAACTTAAACGCAGCCTTACTCATGTCAGTTCCAAAGCTGTAGACCAAATGAGAAGAGCTCAAAGGCTGGGCAACCATCACAAGTCTCTGTTTACAGACGCTGAGAGTCTGAATACCTTTGTGCACTATGCTGTACTTTAAAAAAAAAAAACATTACTTAAAAGGCACTTAGGTTACCCCTTTTTCAATATTTATTATAAGTATTTTGTGTCCCCAGAATGTGTCTGTAAAGTTTCAGCTCAAAACACCCATCAGAGTATTTATTATAGCTGTTTGAAATGTCTGTATTATAGCTGGGAAAAGGTTGTTGCTGTTTTTTTTGCACTGGGCCTTTAAGGCGAGTCGTCCCCGCCCACCGATCCCACGTGCCTGTCAGAAACATGCCTCAACACGCCCCTCGGCTGCCTCAGGAAGCAGATCTCGCGTAACGTTTGTGAGAAATACTACAGTAAGAACTTTACCAACAACGAGTTCACACACACAGGCACATACATAGCGCAGACAGGCAGACACACTCACACACGCACATACATAGCGTAGACAGGCAGACACTCACACACACACACACATTGCACAGTGCAGACACACACGCACATACATAGCGTAGACACGCAGACACACTCACACACACACACATAGCACAGACACGTAGCGCGACACACACACACACACATACATAGCGTAGACAGACAGACACACACACATACATAGCGCACACGCACACACACACAAACAAACACACAAACAAACACACACACTAACACACACACAAACACACACACAAACACACACACACACACACAGAGAGACAGAGGCTGTGCTGATGAAGTGAATCTGAAGTGAATGGCTGTACTTCATTACACACGTGCACACGTTTTAAAACATGTTAAACTTGTAAAACTCACTCTTAATCACGTCTGATGATGACTGATGATTGTAGCAAACTGAACAGACCTTTTATTCCCGGTTGCTTTGCGCTCGTCCTGTCTCGTCTATATGAGTATATGCAATAGTACGGAGACATGTTAATGCGCGCAGCTGTCAATCAATATTGGTGGGCGGGGGGACCGCACTCCTACGTAAAATTGCGGTCGAACTAAAAACCGATCCAATTGGTCCATTGTTTTTATGTTGTTAAATAAAAAAAAAAGGACCGGGTGTGTATTATTCACCCCAATATGACAGTATATACACTATACTTACACATGTATGTCCAAACACCTTCAAAAGTAGATTTTCCACCATAGGTGCCCTCTAATGTTGTGCATCTCCCATTTTTAGAAGCAAATACCTATTCAGTATGAATGAGCACTAAAGACTGCATTGAAATGTCCCTGTAAACACTCAGAACACCCTAGCAACTGCATAGCAATCCCCCATGACACTGTAGCAACATGTCAACTTCATCTAAAAATCTGATCTCTTTCCTAATGCAGACATGTGGTAGCCCAGCTGGCTCAGAGAACTGTGCCGACTCCCCCTGCGGAGGCCTGAGCTGTGTGGACACGCAGGGAAGCAGGAAATGTGGAGGAGAGGGATGCGATGGCCTCACCACACTGGCCCACAATGCCTGGCAGAAAGCCAAAGACTTTGACCTGGAGATTATCAGCGCCATGGAGGAAGTGGACAAGCTCTCCAAAATGGTGCGGTTTCTCAGCTTTTACTACGATAAAAGATTTCGCAATGCTTTTCTAGAGATATGCATCTATTCCAACTTTTTTACGTTGAATGCTTCTTTAAATGCGCTGAAGAGCTTGTTGAATTTGCAACAGGGTTTCGACAGGGTCTTCAATAAAAAATTTCAGTAAGCATTTTCATTCAAGTAACACTGACTTAATTAAACACGCTTGTTTCTGCTATGTAGGCTCATTTCAAGAATGTAGAGGATTCTGTTGCTCTACATTTTATATATTCAAGCAAACTGCATGCTAAATGCAGCACTTCATATACAACAGGTTGTCATACTAGACACAACAGGTTGAATAAAAAGCTTCAAATCATTGAGCACGAAATCTATGCATTGTTGTACCTCAAATCTTCAAAAAACGTAAAGGGTGTAACGTAGACTAATCATGTTCCGTACATGTTTCCGGTATTCAGCGCACTTAAACGACTACTTCTCTATCATTAAAAGCCAGATTGTCCCTGCTGAAAAATCCAGCTTAATCCAGCCTAGGCTGGTCGACCAGGCTGGTTTTAGAGGGGTTTTGGCCATTTCCAGCCTGGTTTCCAGCCATTTCCAGCCTGGTCTTAGCTGGTCAGGCTGGAAAATGACCAGCTAAATCCAGCTTAAACCAGCTTGACCA